GCTTTTGTTGTTGTTGTTGTTGCAGTTTGGCCAGGGCTGAGTTCAGACCCGCCACCCTTGGTATATGGGGCCAGCGCCCTACCCACTGAGCCAAAGGCACTGCCCCGCATGGAATGCTTTTTCTGCCATTATCAGTAAAGCTAGTGCTCTCACTTTCTTCAAGTTTTTACTCAGTGAAACCTTCCCTGTCCCAATGTATTTATCTTGTTTTTCTATCTCCCGTACTAAACGTAAGACCCATGAGAGTGAAGACTTTGGTCTTGTTTTGTATAGTACAGAATCGTTAGGACCTAGAGGTAGTGTCCTGGCACATAGTAGATGCTCACTCACTCAAAAATGAATAAATGATCCAGATTTTTATAGTATTCCTTAAACAAATAGAAAGTTAACATAGCTCTATTAAAGGTAAAACAAAGAAAATGATGGAAGGAAGACTGGATAGAAAGTAGGAAGGAACTGGAAAATAATTCTGACTTGCTGAAATGCATAGCAATCTTATAAATGCATGAATAACAGTAGTACTTATTTAAAGAACTGGATACAAAACAAAAAGTTAGCTACTCCCAACAGTAAGAAATAGATTTGAGGACCTAGATCTGGTTTTATTTACTTATTTTAGAGATGAAGTCTCCCTCTGTTGTCCAGGCAAGAGTGCAGTAGTATGAGTATAGCTCACTATAACCTTGAATTCCTGAGCTTAAGAGATCCTCCTGCCTCAGCTTCCAGAGTAGCTGTGACTACAGGCACATGCCACCATGCCTAGACAATTTTTTTTTTTTTTTTTTTGGAGACAGAGTTTCACTTTGTTGCTCTAGGTAGAATGCCCTGGTATCATAGCTCAAAGCAAGGTCAAATTCTTGGGCCCAAGTGATTCTCCTTGCCTTAGCCTCCCAAGTAGCTGAGACTACAGGCACCCGCCACAACACCTGGCTATTTTTAGAGACAGAGTCTCTCTCTATCTTAGGCTGATCTCGAACCCATGAGCTCAGGCAATCCACCCATCTCTGCCTTCCAGAGTGCTAGGATTATAGGCAATGAGCCACTGCACCCAGCCTAAAAATTCTCAAATTGAATTTCCACATTAGCAAAAAAGTGAAAATAAAAATTAACTCATGACAAACTTACCAAATCCTGACCAGAAGGGAATTTTTGAAGAGAACTCATCACCAAAACACATGTACTCCATGCGAAAAATTTTCTTAAATCAGTAAAGAAAATAAGGAAATGCAGAAAAGCAAAACCAAAAATTCTCCATGGTGAAAGCCCTCAAAAATTATCAGTGCTAACAATGCATTTCATTTCTCTGTCTGTATATAATTTTTGTTAGTTTGTTTATTTTATTTATTTATTTATTTATTTTGAGACAGAGCCTCAAGCTGTCCCCCTGGGTAGAGTGCTATGGCTTCACTGCTGCTCATAGCAACCTCCAAGTCCTGGGCTCAAGCGAGTCTCCAGCCTCCACCTCCCAAGTAGCTGGGACCACAGGTGCCCACCACAACGCCCAGCTATTTTTTGGTTGCAGCCATCATTGTTGTTTGGCGGGTCTGGGCTGGATTCGAACCCGCCACCTCAGGTGTATGTGGCTGGCGCCCTAGCCGCTTGAGCCACAGACGCCGAGCCTAGTTTGTTTATATTTACATGATTATAATCATATTGTATATGTAAATTTGCATCCTGTATCTCCCCTTAATATCCTAATTTTTCTCTATTCCTTTGGGATAGATTTTCTTTCTTTCTTTTTTTTTTTTTAGTTTTGGGCTGGGGCTGGGGCCAGGCTCAAACACTGCATCCCTGGTTTATGGGGCCAGTGCCCTACTCCTTGAGCCATAGACACTGACCTGGGATAGATTTTTAGAAGATGAATTACTAGATCAAAGTTAATATTTTTTGAGGGCAGCACCTGTACTCAGTGGGTAGGGCACTGGTCCCATATACTGAGGGTGGCAGATTCAAACCTGGGCCCTGGCCACACTGCAACAACAACAACAACAAAAATAGCCAGGCATTGTGGCGGGTGCCTGTAGTCCCAGCTACTTGGGAGGGTGAGGCAAGAGAATAGCCTGTGCCCAAGAGCTGGAGGTTCCTATGAGCTGTGATGCCACAGTACTCTACTGAGGACGATAGAGTGAGACTCTGTCTCTAAAAAAAAAAAAATACTTTTTAATACATATTTTCATGCTGCTTTTCAAAAGTATTGTACCAATTAATAATTTTAACCATTGAGACCTGATACTGCTGATTTCACCACACCTGTGCTTGGATTTAGCATTATGATTTTTAACATAATTGTAATTGCAAAAGTAAATAAAAGGTTCCTTCACTCTTTTAATTTGCAGTTTTTTCATTTTTATGACATACATACTGTACCTTAAACATATTAGTAATTGTATTCTTTATTTAAACATAATTTTGCAGATGAAGAGACCTTTATTTAAAGAATGTCCACTTTTTTTTTTATTTTTTAATTTTGCTTTCAATCTTCTTAGTTTGAAATTGTTTTTTTTTAATTTCTTTTTTTCCTTT